CTATTCAACAAATGCTACAAGATTCGACCAACAAACTTGAATCCTGGTCAAAAACAGCGGGTTTTCGATTTGCGTCGAACAAAACTAGCCTCATACTCATCAACCAGAAAAGAAAAAAGGAAAACATAGCAATTAAAATGGGTAACCACACCATCAAGAACCAAACTCAAGTCAAAATCCTTGGGGTAATCCTCGATTCTAAAGCTTCATGGCGCCCATACATACAACACATACGAAAATCATGTCTTTCTAGAATTAATCTGATAAAAACACTTTCCCATACAGCGTGGGGAGCACAAACCCAAATGCTACTGAAAATCCACAAAACACTCATCCTTTCAAAAATAGATTACGGAGCTTCTCTAATATCCGCCGCCAAACCATCTCACCTTAGAACACTGGAATCAATACATAACGCAGGGATCCGACTCTCCATTGGTGCGTTCAGATCAAGCCCGATCAGTAGCATACTCAGCATTGCCGGCATTCCACCATTGGACATAAGATGGTCTGAACTAACATCCAAAACCGCAGCCAGAATGGCCCGCTCCCCCCAAGGTCTTCATTCCTCCCCTAACCACATTTTCAACAATTATAAAAAATATGATTTAGACAACATAATGACTACTGAAATCAGCATATCCCCTCCGTGGCTCATCTCGATGAACATCATCCTGGACTTACACCAACTCCCCAAGAAATATACCAGCTCCACTCAATACAGGAATCTCTTCACGGAAATACTTTCATCTAAACAGCAACACGCACTTATATACACGGATGCCTCTGTCGTGGTAAATCGGGTTGGAATGGCCATCATTCACGGGGATACACATATCCAATGGAAACTATCAAACAAATGCTCCATTTACACAGCTGAAGCACTAGCCATCCTAAAAGCTATTGAGTTTGCAACAAACAAAGTTGAAGCCAAACAAATCATTATCCTTAGCGACTCCCTTTCCTCTCTCATGAGTATCCAGAACCAGTGGAAACCTACTGACTTAGCAAGAAAAATTCATAATGCTCATTCCACCGCTACCTTCGCCGGTAAACAAATATCCTTCATGTGGATTCCCGGCCACTGTAATATAAGAGGAAATGAACTCGCTGACAAGGCTGCCAAACAGGCCCACCTTGCCAACAACCCCCTTACGTCACTGGTTTTTACATACCAGGATGTTAAGAGGATCATTGCTAAAGAGGCACACAACCAATGGGAAAACAAATGGGCAGCTGAGACAACCAAGTTACATGAGATCAAAAGAACCACATACCCTTGGCCGTTCCCTGCAAACATCTCCAGGAAACAGGAGACAGCCATCACTCGCCTCAGGATAGGACACACACACATCACCCATCAACACCTCATGAAGGGAGAAGAACCTCCCATCTGCACCCAATGCGGCTCCCTACTTACTGTCAAACACATCCTCACAGAATGCCGAAGATATGAAAATGAAAGGAGGGAACTGAACCTTCCGGACCAGCTAGCCGAATCACTCAGCCCCGACCAGAGCAACCTAACAACGACGTTGGTTTTTTTACACAACACAGGACTTCTCAACAAAATTTAAGTTATATTATGTTATACTGTCTTTTCTTTCTTGTATTTTTTTTTTTCTTTTTTTTTCTTCTCCTTCATATTTAATGTATCTATATACAAAAATTTCTAACCCTGTATAGTATTGTATAGCATTAATGTCGTCCAATGGCCATAGTCGCCGCGGATATAATATAATAAAAAAAAAAAAAAAAAAAATATGTACCTAAAATGTAAATTGTTTATTATGTAAAATGTAAATTGTACCTATATTATGTGAAATGTAAATTGTTATTATGTAAAATGTAAATTGTATATGACATGTATATTGTATAGAAATGCGATTAAAGGGCCACTTGATACATTCATCTAATAATCTATATAGTTTAATTTCTACTTTAGAAAATCGACACTAGAACATTGAAAAATTAAGAACTTAATATGGATAATTTATTAACTATTACTTACGTCAATGATTGACAAGGTAATTCAATCCAATTGGTCGGTTGTGTGTTGATCAGAAGAAAGAATTTTCTAAAGCCATATTGTCCGGCTTTTTGTAGTAATAATATGTTTTATTGTAAAAAGAGCCAATTATAAAGATACTATGAGTCTAGTAACCCTATAAACAAGCTAATGCGGCCTTAGACGCCGGGGGCCGGGCTTAAAAGATCAATAAAAAAAAAAAAATAAACAACCAGTTGGTATTAGAATTTATATACAGTGGTCGCCGCGTAATTCAATCACTTTGGTACGGGACATAACTGATAACATAATCCGATTGATAACAATAAACGAAAGTTAAAAAAGTTATAAAAAATAATAAAACCTACGTTAAATAAAAAAAAATAATAATGTAGTGTTGCATCAAATTTTACAATCATAATACATAATTATTAAAAATATAATTATTTTAAAGTAGGTACATATTATGTAGGTATAAATTGGTAATTTAAAATTTTAGTACTACCACTAACTTGAATAATATTTTTTTATTGATGTCTGTTTTTTTTACCGTTAAAAGATCATTGATATTGTTCTGTGATAAAATGTTCGTATTTGTATTGTAATTCAAAATTTGATGAATGTTGTTGCACTCCACTTCGTAATACTCGTAGAGCCTCTCTCATTTTCCGGTTGGGAAATTTGTAGTTTTATAACTGCTTCTCACTGTCCCATTTTTGGTAAATTGTCGTAACGTTGTAGTATTGACATTTTATCATAAATTGTTGGGTCATTTCTTTTTCGTTTTTCACTCATTTTTACGCACACGCGATACAGATGCATAGAAACTCAATTTTTATCTTTATTATGAGCCATTCGATGAAAACTGATTGTTTGTTACATAATGATGATTTTATGACCTGAAACGGATAATATTATGCGGCGTATTGATAATAACCGACATAATTTACACATAATATGATATATCCGTATATCCGGCCCGTACTTATACTTTTCGATAACAATAAACGTTTGATAACATAATTAACAGTGATTATAATAAGCGGCGACCACTGTAATACTATCTGATCGTTAAATGTACCATGTACCAGCTCTATATGACTCAAACTTTGTTCAATCGTATTCGGTGTATGGTGTTCAAATGTATCTTAACTTTTCTGTTGCCTGGAATAAAATGTCTGATTCGCAGCAGTATATTATCAGGTAGGCAATCTACCTGTGGTAGATCGCAGACCCAGTGCTGTTTGTATACGTAAGTGTATGATTTAACTCTAAAGTATCAAAATTTATTTTGATATAATAATGTGGATTATAATCTAATCAATTAATACATAATCCTAACCTAACCGTACTAAAATCCGATGAATAAAAAAAACCAAATTTAACCCTTTCTAAATTAGCTTATATCTTCTTCCCAGAGATCTGTACTCAAACATTAATTTATAATATATAATATAGCTAATCCTGCGCACTTCGTGGCCCGTAAAAAATGACCACTCTTAAAAAAATTGTGATTGTTCAACTGTTTTTTGGTGTAACTCATCACTGCAGTAAGTGCAACTCAGCCACCCTCGTAGCCCGTAGGCAATGTGCGAAAATTCGATTTGATCTGCCCGATTAACCAATAGCAACCAATAACAAATAAATACTATTTAATTGTTTCTCCTATAACCAATAGCAATCAATGCAATCATTTATAAACAAATATTTCCATCGTAAATATCAAAATCCCTGTTTCAGCACTTCTATATTAGTTGGTCGTAGCGTGATGTTATATAAGTAGCCTATATAGCCGCTTCCTCGATGAATGGACTATCCAACAAGAAAACAATTTTTCAATTTTTCGAACCAATAGTTCCTGAGATTAGCGCGTTCAAACAAACAAACTCTGCAGCTTTATAATATTATATTAGTATAGATTATGTTGAATGTTGTATTAAAGTTTTTGAAAATTATTTTTAAAAAAATGTGATTATTGATTAAGGCATAGTAAATTATTTTAAATCATAAATTTTTAACTTGAAATAATTGTACATGGTTTATAAATTATTATTTATGACAATGCTGAGATGACTCCACACGTCTTACAAGACTACAACATTTACGTTCACAATAAGTAATAAAACATTTTACATTTTTACTGCGTCGGTATTAATGTCTAAAATCAGAGTGAATTTACCTCTCATACAAATTAAAAGTACGATATTATTATCTAGGGCATCTCGGACGCTTCTATTGATATTTGTATTAAGAACTAAGAAGCAATAGTTATGACCATTTTTAAAATGTACCTAGAATTATTGTATATTTTACAAATTAAAATGATATATATAACGAATTAAATGATCATAACTTACTTGTAAAAATAATAATATCAATAAAATCCTCCGATATTCCCTAGATAATGTTATTACCTTTAAATTTTATAATAGGTAAATTAATTTTGATTTTAGAAATTACGCAGTAAAAATGCAAAATGTGATATTGTGAACGTAAATGCTGTATATGTGTGTAAGAGTAAGACGGTATGAATTCAAAAATTTAAAAATTATAAAAGCAGAATGTTAATGGGTACCTAAAATTTGTATATTTTATATTTAATTTATTAATTTATAATAATATGTTATGTATGAAAACTAAGTGTGTTATTGAAAATCAAAATTCTACAGTGAAAATCCGAGAAACGTTTTTTTGGCGATTGGCCTGGTGGTGGGAAAAAATTGACCTCCGATTGTTTGCGCACCCTTAAAAAACTGAAATAGCGCCCCTGTGTCTAGTGCATACAAACATAAACCATAAATTGGTGTAATAATATTCCATTATCACATTATATTGTGAGTAATTTGTAGGTACGTCACAACCAGGATAGGAAGATAAATAACAACAAAATCAACTGATGGCAAAATTAATATCACGTTTTTATTGTTAAAAGTCGAATCAAAAAACTACAAGTCTGTTAAAGGAAGGTTGAGAACCATTGTGGTAGGAGTGTTCAGTAGTGGTAGGCGACCGGGTATCCGGCCTTGTAGGCTGGGATGTAAGTCTTTTCGTATTTGCCGGGCCAGTATTTGCCATCATCTTCCGGGTAGCTTGGGTATCCGGCCTTGTATGCTGGGATGTAAGACTTTTCGTATTTTCCGGGCCAGTATTTGCCGTCATCTTCGTGGTAGCTTGGGTATGCGGCGGCGGCATAAGCGGTTACCGGGTATGCTGCTGCTGGGTATGCAGCGGGTGCGTGGTATGCAGCTGCTGCTACTGGATAGTTGTAAGGGTAGCTGGTGTAATCAGAGTATGCGTATGAAAAAGATCCTGGGGCTGAGGCAGAGTATCCCAAAATCGCTGTGGACAAAAAAAGTATTAACGTCACTACTATACCTATCTTGGTCGAAATCAGATTTTTAATTAATTTTGATTTGGACGAGATTTCATATATTATCTATAATAATAAGCTACAGGTGCGTTATCGTGTTAAATTTATTTATATCATTATAATTATTGGCACTCACGAGCTGGGGCAGCGGCGATGTAGGCGTGTTTCTTTGCTCTTACTCCTTCTTCGGCGGCAACGGAGTACACGGCCAAGGCGATGAATATCTGTAGGGCGGAAAAGCATTATAATAATATTGCATTTGCAATTTGCATATGATTCTGATTTGATGTCATAAATAAAATATACAGTGTGCTGTGTAGAATTCTAACCACGAATCAGAATAATTTTTATTTTACTTTTAAGTATTAATATTAAATTTAAAATTCACAATCTGCACAATACAAGAAGAAAGTAAAATATTTTCATTGTGCACTCTGTACGGCTTGAAAGTCGTATTACTGCCTTTTTTGTGTGGGTAGGTAATAGGTATACACCACAGTGGCTTAACATTTAAAACCAACACAAACTCAATAAAAAAATGTATATTATGTAATAGGTACAGTGTAGCCGTGTAGTACCCATAGATTAATAAAAATCAAAAAATACGAAAAATATATCGCAGCACTCGCATAAAATATATTAATGTTTTCCTTTAAAGGCGATAGCAAAGCTGGTTGATTCTAGTCAGTTATCTACCGTGTTTTGAAAATTTTTCGACGGTTATTCGACAACTACCTATAAATTGTGTTTATAAATCGTGTTTTTAACGATATCATATAATCGTATACCCTTATGACCTCATCATTAAAATAAGCAATTATGAAATATAGGTATTTATTATTTAATACAGATTATAATTACAGAATAATTAATAATTATTATAGTAAACAGTAAACACCCCAGAAAGCTGATTAAAGTTAAATGTTGCGTAAAGGTAATGACTAATGATTAAACATGTTCGGACAAGATTGAATAACGTTTATAAATATTATTAAAATATATTTCATATATAATTTTTAATTATATTCGAAGGCCTCCCTCTCGTTTGTACGCTGCTTGATTGAAAACGTTCGCCATTCGTTAGGGTGAAATTATATTACCTATTCATTTATATCGATAGTCTTTAAAAATTCAAGAATTTTTTCAAAAATATTACATCAGTACCTTTAATTTACTAGGGCATTTGTACTTTTAAGAATCGTTCGAAAACCATTAAGTCGTACATTGTAACTATAGAAAAATAACATCTAAGCCGCGGTATTATGTAGTTAAAGCCACTCACCAGATACTTGAAAGAAGCCATTTCGTGTTTGTTGGTTTCTTATTGCGTTGTCTACAACGGATCTGCAAACTTCAACCTGTGGTCGATGTATGTACTTGAGATTTGAGTGGATGTAGTGTGATGCCAATTGCGGGTACCGCAGTCCTTATATATAAACAGCTGGTACCTACATAAACACTGTATTCTGGGGGGTGGGTATTCCAGCCCTACCAAACATACAGGGCGTTGCCCGGTCGAAAGGACAAAATCCGGATCTAGTAAATTATACATTATTATTTTATAGGTACCTAACCTTATTACTTATTTGTTATTTATACATACCGATCAGTGGAGAGTGTACTACTAAACGGCAATCTGAGGTGACAGTGACCTTGGGCCTTGAACATGTGGAAAGGAATACTAGAGGAGGGCCCAACCAACCGCATTTAAAAAATCAACAATTTTTAAGCATTGAAATAAAATAATGATAATAATAATACGCACAGACACAAAATTAGGCGTTGCCGGACATGATGACTTATACTTATTATTTCATACCTACTGCACTGGACACTGCCGCATAACATTATATTATAGGTACAAATTAATATATTATCATAATGTAGAAATAATTAAATATTATCCAAAAAGGGACGTTGCTATCCATTGTCAGCGTAGAACTTGTTGATCACTTGTTTAACTTTTCGATGAATTTAAAGGCTTAAAAATCAATATTAGTAGGTAGGTAGGTTTATATAGCTAGGTTATTGCAGCAGGATTTTAACTATGACCCTTCAAAAATGTAGTATGCTTGCAAATTACGTATTTATATACTTCTTACAAATTACAATTATAATATATGGTTACGACTTGCGAAACTATTTTTAAATATTTCTGACATTTTGTGTAGGGATGCAATCCCTTTAGCCACCCATAAATACTCCACTACCTTCACCACTAATTTTTCTCAAAATTATTTAATGTTTATTGCTTAATAAGGGAGGGGATTGTACCCAACCTTAAAAAAGTTTAAGTTATCTTACTTGTATGTCTCTAAAAGCTCCTCTTATTGTTTTTAGAATAGAGTTGAGTCTTTAAAATTAATATCACCTGTATTAATATTTAATACTGTGTAATGGCCATTAGCCAATAGGTATATTATTAGAAAAAAAATAATATTGATAATACCTATTGGCCAAATAGGAATTTATAAAAAAAATTCCATTTGTATTTACAATTTACATTTTATAATCAAAAATTATTTTAAAAGTTATTTATTTATTTGATAGATAATTATATTTATTTAAAAGTTATACATATTTCAAATCATTAGGTTACAATTCAAATGTTTTCTTTACCAAAATTATATTATTATTTATTTATTTATTTCAGCAAAAACAATATCATTATTTCAATACAATAATACAATAGTCAAATTACAAAAGTTAAATTACTACAATAATAGTGATAAGAGCTGATACGTATACCAACTGAGCAAGCTCGTTTCTGGTATACGGAGTTCCTACACATATTACTTATATAATATAATAAAATAAAATGTCATGTGTCTTATACAATTGAGAATGATGTATTTTACTTCTCTAAATAACATTATCTTATAATTATATAACTAAACAATACTAATAGATAATCATTTATATTTACACATAGATACTTTTTAATAATTGATTTTTACATACATTCTCATCTAGGTCATTTACTATTTTAGTAATTATATTTTTTATACGATTTTTGGTAATTATATTTTTTACATTGGTTTTATTAGACTGATTTTCACATTCATACTTTATTAGACTCTTTACATCATTTCCTAAATTGTTGAATATAGTTTTGACCATATAATCGGGAGCACTTTTTGTACTGGATAGTGATATATAAGGTAATTTTATGTTATTACCTGTTCTACTGTCTATTATATCTGTATTATTAAGTATCTGCATTTGAATTGTTTTTATAAGTGTTTGTTTAATGTATAATTTATAGATTGATAGTATGTTAGTATTTTTAAAAATATCTATTGAAGGGTATGTTGGCGGTAACGAGTAGGCTACTTTTATAATAATTTTCTGGGCAATATATACCGATTTTGCTTCACTAATAATCTGAAGACATAATATTAATGTGAAATAATTTATAACTTAAATACTCACGACTATATTTATATATTTATGACTTAGTGAGTATATTATAATATACAAGCCGGTACGTTTTTATCACTGCAGGATAGATTATTCGCTTGTCATTGCATTTAATATTACATAATATCCAATTTTAATAATGTTTTTTACGTCTGTAGATTTAAAATCTTAAAGATAGGTACCTACTCTCTTAAATAAAAAAAATAAAACATTGTCCTGCTACTGAGAATTTGCATGCAGTCTCATAATATTATTAAATTCAGTATTTATTAAATTAATTAAAATTTTAATTTAGAAATGATGTATTTCGTATCTCTAAAATATACTTCCAATTTTGTAATTAGCGTATTAATACACAAACACATTTAGATTAGTTTTAATAATATACATTAATTATACGACATTATTTGTATGCGAATCAATTACTGCAATTAAGATTATACTATAGGTCATCAAATTATGATATAATAACAATCAAAAGACTTCAATTCATTCTGTCTTTAGTATGTAAACTGGAGCGATTAGTGCAGCTATGTTTTACACTATTTAGAAAAAAACTCGCGTTTAATGGTGTTTAAAAATGCCATCGTCAAATATAGACGGAAATGAAAAGGAAAAGTCTGCAGTTGTGTACGATTCAAATTCTTCCAAGCCAAATCTTAAAGGAGATTGGTTGAATTTCTTCCTGCTGTTGTTACTGTACACTATGCAAGGTTTTCCTTTGGGTCTTACTTCAGCTATACCGATACTGTTGCAAAGCCAGAATGATGTATCCTACCAGGATCAGGTAAATTGTTATAATAAAATCCAAATCATCGAGGGTATTATATTAGATTTGCTATTGGTCCCAAGAAATCATAAGTCAATATTATACTATATTATAATATCATTTAAATATTGTATTTTTTTTTCAGGCTTTATTTAGTTTAGCCGCTTGGCCTTTTAGCTTAAAACTGTTATGGGCACCTTTAGTGGACGCACTCTACATACAAAGAATAGGAAGACGAAAATCTTGGCTCATTCCAGTACAATACTTAATGGGTAACACATTTAATTTTCTTCATAACGCTTTTCCGATAAACGAATATAATTCAATTGACAGAAGTATATACATAAAAGTATAAAACATAAAAAAATTAAATATTTAAAATTTTAGAGTACCTAATAGTTTTTCGTCCGTTCTTATTTGGTCCTTATATAGGTAGTGTATTCGTACTGTGTTGGGATGAAAGGCATTAATCATTAATGTCATTCGATTTATATAATACAAGCTGCAGGGCTGTGAATTTAATGCACTAAAAAAACATCAGTATGCACTAAAAATCAAAAATTAACTTAATAAAATCAACTTACAGATACGTTATGTAAAGTATTTATGATACCAATAAATAGTAAAAATATTAGATCTCTATTCAATCAAATCCAAAAAGTATAATATGAAAAAAAAATAGGAACCTATAATCATTTTTCCCAAATCATAAATATATAATATTTTGTTTTTTTATGATATAAAAAAAAGTTTTACCTATACATTTATGGACTAACATCTAAAACATTTGAAAAATGCAGTATTTAGAATGGTTCTCCAATACCTAAATGTGTGTCTCACTTATTTTTAATTCGGAATGAAATTCAGCGATATGCAAAATAATTAAACTCACAGCCAGTATATTTAATAGATATCAGTTGGAAACGTATCACCTATGCATATAATGTATATATTATCTCAAAATTCAAACCACCTTTCAGAATCGCAACATTTATTTAACGTTAACTCATAAATATATTTACTAAAACAACCAATAAAATAAACCTTATGAGTTATAATCATATATCTCATTTGATTTGCATTTGATGTTTGAAAAAAATATTTCAATAACAACTGAACAAAACTGATTTAATTTTAATTTTATAATAATCCATCAATAATTAATAATTACTGTCGAATTAAATTCGATAAAACGAAATGGAGTACACTGAAGTACACTTGACTGAAAATATGGACTTTTATAATATATATTATTATAAATATTATTAATATAATTATACAAACTATACCCACATTGTTTCACGATTATCAATGTGATAAACAAGGCCAACTGGTTATACGATACATATTTTATGGGCAAAATGTATTCAAAGTTTATTGTCCGTCTGTCCTACTGTCTTGATTTTAGAACTAATTTTGTTTTTGAAATGTGGACCAAAAATCCTAGTTGTGGCGCTATATTATGTTATAATAATTATTAATATATATTTGTAATGTATAATGAATATATGTAATTAGGTATACTAACTGCCAAAATTTAATACATTTAATTGTATTTATAATGATTTATGTTGAATTGAATAGGAACATGCTTCCTTTATATGGCTAATGACATTGATGATTTATTACCTAACACGGGAACACCAAATATCATGGTATTGATGTGCATGTTCTTCATCTCTAACTTCCTAGCCGCCACTCAAGATATCGTTGTCGACAGTTGGGCCCTGACAATGTTAAAAAAGTGAGTTATATTTTTCATACTCTTGAACTATTAATCCAATTTAATACACTTTTGGCTTTTACAGGAATAATGTGGGTCATGCATCCACGTGCAATACTACTGGACAAGCAATTGGTGTGATGTTAGGTTCCGTGTTCCCGATATTGTTTGCGTCTGAAGACTTTTGCAATAAATATTTACGGGATACGCCCAGTACAGGAGGATTAATGACTATGAAAAGTAAAAATAGAATAAATTTGCAACATTTTTATTTTAGAAATTAGACAGAACATTAACTTACAAATTAATTTACTAATTTTAAAACAAAATGATTATGCAGACCCAGGGGAGATTAAAAAATATATTTAAGTGACATATATTTTATGTCTAA